ACTTCTCAGTATAGGGGGTCGGTGGAAGGGTGTTCTAAACCATTGGTTTTCGACCGCTACGACCCGGGATCGAATCCCGCATTGGGCTTTTTTTTTTCTAATAATAATAATAATTCTCCAATGGCCTCCGATTCTTGCAAAAGTTCAACCCCACCAGTGAGTGCAAGCAACAAAACGGGGCTATGACGCATTTGTAAGTGCAAAAGTCGAACTGCTTTTCACATGTGTAGACATGTGATACACTTAGAGTAAAAGTAGTCGCTAACTACCCACCATGATTATCATGGCCTGTACCACGTGTGATTAGAAATAATAATAATATAAACTCCTCAGTATTACTACCAGGCATATGAAAGTAGATAACGTAAGCTTCGAGCTAGCTTCCTCGGGAATCCTCAATGTTCCCCAATTAATCATGTCTTATACTCTATCTTTATAGGTTGAATGTGTGAAGTAAAAAGTGTTAGTCACAAAGTTTTGAAGCTATTTTTTCTACCTAGAGACTCTGAAATTACCACCTGCACTGATTATCATTATTAAAAAGCAAATTTTCGTGCACAAGACTCATCTATAATGATCCCTTCCATGATCTTCCAGATTACTATAACTATCATATTGTCTGTTTATATAGTTTGTATTTGGTTGCCTACCATGATTAACATGGCCTGTACCAAAACATTTTAGAATACCGCGATTCAAAAACGGAGGGAAAACTTGCAGGTTTATTCTAGAAGGGAAATGATGTAATTTAAGAGAGTCCTTGGAAATGTCCACTGCTCTGTGCGTGAATCCGGCAGATGTCATTTGAGGACATTTAATGGTCTTATTGTGTGCTTCTGTGTGCTACGTTGCTCTGTGGACATTGCTCAACTCCCACGTCTCTGCCCGACTATTTGGAAATGCTGAATATTTAGACTGCAGATAATTAAGACGTGATAATTGGGACTGTTGCTAATTGGAACTGTGATAATTGAAGCCGTTATCAGGGGCTGTTGACAGTTTGGACTTTTCCAGCGAGTCCCAATAAGAATGAACGTTGACTGGAAGTTGGCCAATCGTCTCTTAAATTTTCCAAAAATCTGAATACGTTGAGTTCTCCATCTATGAAGTGTCCGCCACGGTGTGAGGGAGGAGTGTCCATCCATCCCTGCGACAAGGAAGGACATCGATTATAGATCCTTCATGTCCACCTGGAGGTTCCCCCGCTAAGCTTTCCAACCCGATACACGAGACCTTTCATCCTTTTGTAAGTAACCCACTTGGCAACAAAACTGAGTGGAAGTGTTTTTAGCAACCGGGTCTCGGTTTCTTAAATCGAAAGGAATCAGTTCTTTTTTAATCATCAAATCTCGATTTAAGAGATTCTGAACTTAGGATCATACTCCATAGACATCTCCTGATTGCTCAAATGAGCATTTTTAGATGTCAAAGCGCCATATTTAGGTATGAATATTACCTAAACGTTGATTTTTAAGTTTATTCCTTCATATTGGCCAACCCATAAATAAATAAAAAAGCAAACATGTATGCAATTTATCAAGAAAATGGATGGGCAAATATTCTGGTGGTGTCTTTTCCTATCTCTCCGTGTTCAACGCAATTTTTAATCTAGAGTCGTCGTTGTTGAAAATATATCTTTTTGACCCCAAACGAATCCATTCTTTTTTTCTTTTTTTTTTTTTGCTTAAGATAGATTTATAAAGGGATGATAATGAAAGCTCTCTCCAGACATCTTGACGTTTCCATTCATCCTGCTTAGTCATGTCTTTAATTGTTTGTCTTTAGATTAGATAGACCGAGAGAATTTACAACTTCTCCGGTTGTAAATAAGTGAAATGGATCAACAAAGATTTACAGCTAAGTTACATGGGTATAGAACCTTAGTGGGAGATTTGTCTCTTCTCTTTTTTCCCTTCTTTCCATTGTTGGTTAAGATAATCCTCCATGTTTGGATAGACAGAGTTGGGTATATGCAGGGTGTATGGGGCGAGATTTCTTGTTTTGCCCTTAATCCCAACAGTGATTCCTCTCTCTCCTACTGCAATTCATCTTTCAATGTTTAAAAAGGCAAACTCGGGAAAAAAATCGACAGATAGTTGATATAGTGTCCGATAGATGGCATTGAGCCACTACCAAAAACATTCAGTTACAATATCAATAGTGGCCTTTCAATATTATAAATATTAGAGAGGGCCTAAACGTCAATGAAATTAAATATTTTTCTGTCCGAATTGTGTATTTCTCAATAATGACATAGATGTTTTACCTTGTATGGGTTAAGAGTTTTCAATGTCGCTTTTTTTTTTATCTCTAGCGATTTTTTTTTCTTTTACAAATATAAAAATCTTCTTACTGCGATGAAAAATATTGGGAGGGCCTGGCTCATCAGTGGGGAACCCTCATAGCGGTTTCGCCAGTTTAATCCACCATATACCACTTTAGTATTGTAATAGTCAATTCTGAATAAATATCCGACACTCCCCCTTCAAACACACCACCACACATTTTAGAAGAACTCTTGGTTGTGGTATTTGAGCAAATTATAGAAAAATCTTTGAAAACAGCATAAATATATATCTATATATATAAAAATGAATGTATGTGTGTCTGTTTGTTTGTTTGTCCTTTATGCCTGACCAAACCACTCATTGGATCGCCATGAAACTTTGGGAAGTTACTTAGTATAGTACTGGGAAGGTTTCTAGCAAATAAAATTTTTGAAATAACTTTTCGCCTAGAAATAATCAAGATAAATATTCTAATTTATCTGTTATAATTCAACAATCTGCTCTAAATATTATCATGATGATACGATGATTTTGTAATGTAGAAAATTAGGAAAGACAAAATTCAGGATGACACGGCAATTTATTTGAGACAAGAATAATGATACAATTCAAAGGCAAGATACTATTCCTTTAACTTCCAATTACCGAGGGAACCAATTAATATTGATTTTATTCAACTTATCGAGTATTTTTCAAGGGACCGGGAAAAAATGTTCACTTTATCGAGAGATTCGTTAAACAAACCTTTACTCGGGTAAAACCCGGGTACGTCCGCTAGTATATTATATAATCTAAAATGCAAATATTTTATTTTTTTTAAAACATATATTTAATTTTCATTCATTGACTGTTATATATTTTTTGACCATAGATTTAGTACATACCTTTTTAATTATTATTGTTGTAAATATATGTATAGTTAACCCTACCTTTTCTAATAAAAATCACGATTATAGAATTCATTATATAAATTCTATATTCCTGTGATATAAATAATTTTATGTGTATTTTTACTTCAAGTAATTCAAAATAAAATCTACTTGAAAGGTAAATAATTATCTTAACTTTTCCACGACTGCACCTCTTTTCAACACCAAACACACAAAATAATTCTAAACTTAATATATATATATATTAATTTTTTTTTTCAAAGTTTTTGTCTATAATTTGCTTAAATAAAACCAACCAAGAGTTCATATAAAATGTGTGGTGGTGTGTTTGAAGGGGGAGTGTCTGATATTTATTCAGAATTGACTATTGCAATACTAAAGTGGTATGTGGTAGATTAAACTGGCGAAACCGCTAAGAGGGTTCACCACTGATGAGTCAGGCCCTCCCAATATTTTCCATCGCTGTAGGAAGTTTTTTTTATATATATTTGTAAAAGAAAAAAAAATCGCTAGAATGGTTTCAATTCTTATACTTTTTGTTTAAAATGGACGTTGTAAAAATAGCTCTTCAAAAAGGAATGACACGGCAAACTTTAAAATATCAATTTTTCTTCAATCACTAATCCTAATGTATCAAATACCAAATCAGTTGTCATGGCTTAATTAAATACTCATTTATTAGTATGAATTGTTAACTAATTGCTAGCTATGAAAGGAGCATGTTTTTTTAGAGTATGTTATCACACATACACGCAACACAACACACACCCACACACCTGTAAAAACGATAATATAGGGAGAATTTCCAAATATATTGGTTATGATAAACAAAGGACAAAGTGACTCAATTTAAAATAAGGCCATTGGGTAGAATTCTCAATTTAAAAAAATCAAAAATTTTCCCATTTTACTCTATCGGAAAATACCCCTTTTCTTAACAATTCCTTCATTTTTAATTATAAGGAAAGAAAGTTTACAAGTTGTAAATGAAAAGTCCATTGTTGGCGGTAGTCATAAAGGATTTTTATGACGGACCTCTTTTCTGGACTTCATTAACTTTATACAATCTGATTGGTTGTTGCATTGTCACGTGTTAGGTAGGTATTGCAGAATGGATTTGATTGGAGAAAATTTCCACTGGAGACCATTTAGAAAGTACTTTGTGTGTGGGCGGTGCATTTTTATATATACAGTAGAACTATCTCCCTGTAAAGGACACCTAATTTCAGAACCAAAGTATCCTTTAGGGAGAGGTGTCCTCTTACCAGAGAGCTAATAAATACAGTAGAACCTCCCTGTAAAGGACACCTAATTGCAGAGCCAAAGTGTCCTTTAGGGAGAGGTGTCTTCTTACTGGAGAGTTGCTAAATACAGTAGAACCTCCCTGTAAAGGACACCTAATTGCAGAGCCAAAGTGTCCTTTAGGGAGAGGTGTCCTCTTACTAGAGAATTACTAAATAGTAAAAATGGTAATTTTGCAAATGAAAACTGTCCTTTGTGGAGAGGTGTCCGCTAAAGGGAGGTTCTACTGTATATATTTTAATATAATTTGTGTACTACTGAAATTTGACGTGAATTAATCGATACTTCGTTGCATTTCGAATAGTTAATATCGAATTAAAAAATCTACAAAGGTTGTTGTTGAAAGCGAGGGTATATATTTCTATTTCTTTTTTTTTTTTGCCTCTTTTGGTTTTATGTGTGTTCATTTTTAGAAATATTTATTATTATTATATGATATAAATATATCTTTGATATTTATTGGCGGATGTAAACGGAGAATAATATCGTATTCGTATCACTTCCGGCTCACTTTTTTTATGGGGGTATAGCTCAGTGGTAGAGCATTCGACTGCAGATACCCGGTTCATACCCGGGTACCCCCTCCTTTTTTTTTTCTATCTTCCACGTGGTCTAGTGGCTATAGGATACCTGGCTCTCACCCAGGATGCCCGGGTTCGATTCCCGGCGTGGGATTTTTTTTTTTTCGTCCAGGGTAGCCTAGTGGACATGGCATGACCGGTAAGCTGGGTTCGATTCCCATCCCTGGACACTTTTATTTCTGGGCTCAAAAATCATATACTTTTGTTAGTAGCCCGTAAAATCATATTCTCTCTCTCTCTCTCTGAGAATAATTTCGTTGATTTGCATTTATTTAAATATATATATTTTTTAAATTCTTTTTTTACTCGGTGTAGTTATTATAGAATTTAGAGTCGTTTGGTTGAGTTGCTGTGTTGTTGTTGTTGTTGTGAAGTTTTAATTTAGGCTTCCTTCTTGAACTTTAGATATTTTGAATTGACAAATATTTCGAAATTTGTAATTTTAAATTTGTTTATTGATTAAAGGTAAGAAAAACAAAGTTAAGTCTTTTTGTATGTTTAAAATGAAAGAAAAAAAAAAACGTGAACCCAACTCTTGATTGTTGAGAGCGTTTTGCAATTGATCTATGTGGTCACAACAATAGGTTGATATGTTAGCCACTATTTTAGTCGTCAAATACAGTCAGTAAAACCTTATCATATTGTAACGTAGAAAATGAGGAAAGACAAACTTCGGAATGACACAGCAATTTAAGGCAAAAACAACACATAAGATATACAATGAAGGGAAGTTTCCAGAGTAACAAAATATAAATAACTAGCGAACCCGGCCACGCGTTGCTGTGGCTAAATTGTAATATGTCAAATTAACATTATACTAAACTATTCAGTACAGTAAAGTTAATATTCACTAATAAAGATAAAAATGTTTTAGCCGATCTAAAGCCCAACGGGATTGAGAATGGAACGTTACGTTAAAATTTGAAAGTGATTTTTATATATATATAGACAATATAGCCCTTCATTGTAATCATTGATTATAATCACTGCATTAATAAATGTCAGTCTTCCCAGTATTCTTTTACCTATGTATGGAAATTTTGGTTTGAATTAGTGAACTACTGCGAATTTGTAGACGAATTTCCCGGGCAACGCCCGGGTTTACACGATTAAATGTATATTACATATGGAAGATGGGCAGGGAAGTCACGTGCTGCGCCGGCAGCCAATCGTCGCGCGCCGCCATCGCCCGTCTGCCGCGAGAGGGGCGCTGATTGCGAGTGAATTTACGTTTTATTGTAAATAAAAATGCAACGAAAGGTTATTTCTAAAGAGTAATTAGCCAGAAACCATCCCTGTAGTATACTAAACATCTTCCCAAAGTTTCATCACGATTGGTTGAGCGATGTAGAAGATTATCACTCACGGACGGACCAACCAACAAACATCCATTTTTATATATATAGATATAAATATCAAATTAATAATATGTACATCAAATATAATAAAGACCCTGCTACAATAGAACGACGTTTTACCACAAATGTTTCTTTTTACAGAACGAAAAATCGTAATTTTTAATTTACAACAACAACATCAGCTTTATTAGGACATTTCCGTCCTGTAAGGACTCGCCATACATCATTTTCATGGAGAAAAGGAAAAAAGAGAGTAATTTTTAATTATTATATATTTTTTCCGTTCATCATTACTCTTCACAATTCATCCTTTCATACTTTATCCTTAAGGATAGGAATAGTCGTTATTTCTCCTTAAAATAATTAAAATTACGATTTTTCGTTCTGTAAAAAGAAACATTTGCGGTAAAACTTGTCAAACTTCGTTCTATAATAAAGAAAAGTGTCACCCGGAGCTAAATCAGGCGAGTACGGTGGATGATTCAACACAAATACATTATTTTTGGCAAAAAAAAAAATCAACGAACAATGACTAGGTGTGACTGTGTGCATTATCATGCAACAAACATCAACTGTCGTGATCGCGATATTCTGGACGATTGCGATGAATTCTTGCAATCAAACGCTTCAAGATGTTTAAATAGCACCAGTCAGTATTGGTTTTTCCAGTTGGAACAAATTCTTTGTAGATAATACCTTTATAATCGAAAAATGTAATCAGTATTGCTTTGATTTTCTATGGAACTTTCTCTTTTTTTTTTTTTTGGCTTGTAGAAAGTTTTTCTACTTCCATTTGGCACTTTGTCGCTTTGGTTTTGGGCCATACTGAAAACATCACCTTTCAACATCTGTAACTATTGATTTTAGAAATTTTGAATCATTTTCAGACTCAGTAACAATGTGCCTGCAATGTGCAATTCTAAATGATTTTTGCTCGTTCGTTAAAGTGTGTGGAACAAATTTAGGGCAGACTTTTGTTTTGCACAAATCTTCATGCAGAATGGTTCGAATTGTTTCTTTGTTGATGTCTGAAATCTCTGCTATCATTTTCATGGATGCACAGCGATTTTTGCAACAAATTCCCGTAATTTTCCATAATTTCAGGTTTCAACGAAGAAGTTGGTTGTCCTGTATGCTTATCATCGTAGCGTATTTCTTCTGCCTAAAAACCGTTTGTGCTAAATGAAAACATTTGATTTACTCAAACATAACTTACCGTAAACTTGTTTAATCAAAATAAATGTTTCCGATTCACTTTTACCAAGTTTCGCATTGAATTTAATGACAGCTCCATGTTCCATCTCAAAATAACGACAAGCAAACATTTTTTTTACTTCTTCATAATCGGCTATATTGCTAGAAAGAGTTAACCAAAATAGCTGAAACTTCGCTACGTGGCAGATAAGACTTCGAAAATTACAACAGATGCGCGAATACAATAAGTGGTTCTGCTATTTGCTGATATCTAGCACGAGTCTTAAAACTTATTTGTCACACTGTGTACTTACCAAAATACCGTTGTTCCGATGTGAATTTGGGAATAAATAATTTTCCTTCTGTGAGAACCTTTCCTTCCTAAAATACAGTTGAAAAATTTGCCGGGAGGAAATCAAACCTAAAAAAAGAAAGGCCGGCCAACTGTCCCGTTAAAATCTACCCAATCATCCGATCATCTCTGCCAACAAACCACAATGTCAGCTTGGGCAAAGTCGGAACACCTATCTGGGTGTCGTACTGGGACCTTCGTACAGTCTGATATCAGGTGATCCAAAGGAATTCATTAAATCTTCTACATCGCGTCTATTCCAAAAGGACTTTTTTTAAATAATAACGTGTAAACTTAAAATAAGACAAGACAATTTTATTCTAGTTCTAAGGAATTAATGAAGTTATAAATATTGATTTATTGGGAACTCTCTCTCTCTCTCTCTCTACCCATTCATCTGACCATCTCTGCCAACACCACAACGTCAGCTTGGACAAAACATTGTCGCATCGCGTCTATTCCAAAAGGATTTTTTTTTTATAAGAACGCGTAAGCTTAAAATAGGACAAGAAAATTTTATTATAGTTTTAAGGAATTAATGAAGTTATATATTGATTTATTGGGAACTAACGAAGAATTAGACAGGCAATTAACAATTGGAAGGAATCAATAAAGTTTTAATTAGACTTCAATAAGTTTTGCTCCGAGATTTGTACTTTTTTTTCTCCGCGCAAGACAAATAAGATTTCCTACTCAGCGAAAATTGAATATTCACCTAGAAACGCAGAGTTGGTAAGTTTTGAGCAGTAGTGAGGTGAATGAATTAAAAGTGTTTTTTTTTTTTTCCATCAACTTAGAATATTGACATTCATTTACGGTAGTGGTTTCTCGTATGGATACTTCCTTTTATACGACATCGTTCTTAAGGGCCGTACCTCACCGGGACGCCATGGCGACGTAGCCAGCAACATTTCCAATAACTCTTTTAAAATGACTGGCAGGTTTCTCACTTGGCTACCACTTGGTGACGGACCCGAATTAGAGGCGTCGCCGCTGTTTTCTCGTGTGGAGACTGGCCACTTGGCGGCAGCAATATAAATGAGAGTCAACGCACCGTCGTGAAACCTAACCTAGAGGATTTTCTTGATCTATTTTCTTTCCTTTATTATTGATTTATTTTTTAAATTTATTCATTATGTTCTCTCGATATTTGAAAAAAAGGAGCAAAAATGATGCTTTGCGCTTCGTAAGGAGAGGCGAATATCACAGGTTACCTCTATTTATATTACAACGTTTGAAAGTAAAATAAAATAGGAACCGGCTCTTACTCTGCGCAAACTGAACTTCTTGTTAATATTTTAGATACTTGCCTGATTTGGTATCTTGTAGGCTTCTTAGAGCGCATCTTTTTTATGCACATCTGGATATATGCTAAATTTATTATTTGATATATGCAATTAAGAACATAGTTGGTGTGGTGCATCGGTCTGTATATAGATATGCCAGGTTCGAATCCCGGGCCAAGCTTAAAAAAATAATAGTCGTAGGGCTGCTATCTCCCGTATCCCTATTGGAGATCAGTTATCTCGAGACACACCCTGCTAAAATCTGCTAAATTATTTGTAAAGATCTCACCTGTTGGGATACAGCAGAATTTATCTTTAATATAGCTGTAGGACTTATTTTTAAGTAACGTACTTTGGGTGACATATAGTTTTTCAAAATTGTAGTGTATTTGCATGTTTTGAATATTTGTAGAAATGCAAATATTCTCTTTACATACTTAATTGTTGGCTGTAGAAATTGTATATAAATAGAGGCGCCATTTTGCTAGTCAGTATGATGTATCAATTGTGATATTTAAATAAACTATAACACCTAAGTCCGTGGCCTAATCTAAGCAACACCTCATCCTGGCTTCTCTCTCTCTCTATCAAGCGATAAACAAAAGTTATCCATTGCAAGACAACGTTTCACGATAAACAAATTCTACAAAAAAAAAGTTCGTCTTTGAAAAGAGGTTATGGAGATGTTAGTTAGAGTAAGCGTAGAATGCCTCAATTTCTACTGGATGGTGACATCCTTCAATCTAATTCGTCCCCGTCTATCCTCTCTGAAGACATTGTTGCTGGCAGTACTGATCGGGGGTCGGTGGAAGG